GTGACAGTGCTTTTCTTCTTTGGGCCACAAGAAAAAAATGTAATTAATTTACTTGATATAATTTAATTTTTCTCTTTTAATTTTGGTCAGTTTTATGTTGTTGTTGTTGTAGTGTTTCTGTCTGCTAAAAAAAAAGACATATTTTAGACAAAACATTTGCTATAGACAACCATTATTACCAGACTAATAGTGTGTGAGTGATAAACATGACAGGTCTACATAAATTCCAGTAGATGGCAGCCTTTAGTTACATTTGGCTCTTAAAAAAAAGGCTCATCTCATGTTGACTGGTGAGAGCTTCCCTAATGGGGTTGAAATTAAGACTGAGCTGCTCATTTAGGATGAAAGCAAATTTAAAACCTGTCACTACTGAGGGACATTGAATAGATGGATAAATCACTCTTAACAGGCTGTGGCTGCATGCAAACCGAGATACAATGCGGTCAGAGAGAGAAAACCTTCGGATACATGACGAAGACCCATGAAGGTGAAGGAAACACTGAACTGAAGTGACACTCCTGAAAAGGTAAGGGAGTGAAAGATACTCTTAAACTTAAATTTGGAGGTTCTAGTGACGTAGGGAGGGAAGGGAATAAACAAGCAAACAGAAAAACAAAGATGAATGTGAAAAAGGACAACGGGGGGATGAGTGTTTGTTTGACTGACTCCATACATGTGTGGGTGGGTGTGAGGAGTAAAGTAGGGTGGGGTGTTGGAGATGTAGCAGGTGGAAGACATGGTGGAGGCAGAGACAGAGAGGACGTGGCAGTAGGGCAGTGATTTAATTAGCACCCTCTACCCCCTCCAGCCCTTCACTCATAGCATCAATAATGCATGCCCCCTTGTTTCCACTGCCATAATTAATCCTCTCTTACTATAATTAAAAGCCAAAAATCCCACAAGATGGTTCAGCTTGGCCAGGCACGGGTTGGGTTGGCACGGGAACTGATGAAAAACTCTGGAGCCTCACACACACACCCTGTGGGCCGACAGATCGACAGACAGACAGACAGACAGACAGACATGTTGACAGAGAGATCAATAGTCAACCCAACTCCAACACAGGCAGAGCGAATGAGGCATGAAGGCAAGCTATAATACCCGGAGAATGTGACATGCAGGCACATTAAATGAATGAAATTGACAGACTGATGACATGAACCACTCCTTGAAAATGTGCTTTCCTGTACCGTGTTTGTGAATGAGCGAGAAAGTGAGGGAAGGGAGCGAGCCAAGCACAAAATCTACCGACCCCAGAAAAGGAGGACGGGTGTACAAGTGCACATACGCACACACACACACACACACACACACACCTCTACACACTCACACATACTTACACAGGCATCCTGCTCCCAGATGAGGTTTCATCTCCGCTGCAGCCAAGCCAGACGAGAGGGAGAGGTGGAGCTTTCTGATGCTGCAATTAGGACCACACTGTCTGGGCGAGCAAACAAGAATGAATATTTCAGTCCGGAGATCTCCATGGGTACCTATGGTGGGGGCCTGGCACACCTACAGACACACACACACACACACACACACAGACAGATACACAGCTTACCACGGCTGCCAGAATTATTCACCTCCCAATCACAGATGCCACAATTATCACATCAGTATCACTGCGTAAACGGTGCCAACTGTTATGCTCATTGAACTATTGTACAAGGTTTACAATATCAGTATAAATATGCATCAGTAGGCGCAGACGCATGTAGCTGATGGTTTCTCCTTCATGAAAATAGGTGCAATGAGCATCCAAGTTTGGCCACGTGCCAGGGAACAGCACAATCGGTAGAGCAGAGGTCGCATCTCATATGCAACCTAATCTATTTTTCCTCCTCTTTCTCTACTTTTCTCACCTCCTCCTCCAGACTTTAAAGTACTCACCTCACTCAGTCACCTTTTCGAGGTCTTCAGCATTTTTAAACGGTGCTTCACTTCAGAGGCTCCAGTGTGCACATCCTCCACCACAGCACACACTCCCAGCCACACACAGGACTTGTACAGTAGGAGCACTCCCTCCGGTGTGGGTTCATTGTGGATGCTCCGCGCAGCCCTCCTCCTGCCCCGCCGTCCTCGGCCCCATCTCCACTTGATTTATCGCTCTAAAATACCACTGCACTAATTAGTCAAGTAATTAATTAATAGGCATTTGCATTTGTGCATATGCAATTAGGGGGCTGGAGAGAGGAGAGTGCAGATGGGGTCCGGGAGTCTGGTGGGGGTGGGTGGGTCCGTGTGTGTGTGTGTGTGTGTGTGTGTGTGTGTGTGTGTGTGTGTGTGTGTGTGTGTGTGTGTGTGTGTGTGTGTGGGTGGGTGTGCTGTATTTCATATTTGTGCCAGCAGAAGTTTGCACTTCTTCCAGAAAGACAAGTGAAGTGCAGGTCATCACCTCACATGTCTGACAGTGAGAAAAGGAGGAAGGGAGGGGGAATATGACAAAGGTGTGGAGGTGTGGCTTGATGACTTTGAAAGGCTATTGGGTGTCATTTGACCATAGAGGGAAAGGAGTGATGGAGATTTTGATATCTTAAAGGGGAAGGGCTTCAATTTTGCATTTTGATTACATTCATTTAGCCTATGAAAAAGCACAGCAGGTGGCCCTTACTTAAGACTAATCCGCATACAAACAGGATGCAAAGTCATTCTGAAATATCATAATTCCAAACAAGCTCTCCTTCAGCGTTTCAATATCAGATCAAAGCCTCCCTGATTGGAGTTGCCTTGAGCTCAGTGCTGGCTAAAGCCACACTGTTGACATTTAGCATTTATTTTGGCAAGGTGACCTGAAGGTTGTTTGGGACTTGTTGAGAAGCATCAACCCCCCATGGCCGCAGTCCTCGCATCTCCCCCCACCCCCTTGTCAGTGCAGCTGAGGTAGGATATAGGGCACTGATTTGGCCAGCAGTGAGGCTTGATGCCCCTCTACTGTCCCTGCACACACACACACACACACACACACACACACACACACACACACACACACACACACACAAACAAACACGGATACAATCACCCCACCATGGTTTGGTGTAGTGCCAGGTTACCATCCCCTCATCCCATAAGGGATGAGACACATTAGTGAATGTGCAGCATCACGGCTCCCTAGCCACAGCTGCCACACTACTGGTGACCCCAGGGATGACCCTGCAACCCCCCAAATGCTCCCTCGGTTGTGGCTGCGGAGGAGACGTAGGGGTGATTCAGGCCCAAGGACATGATGAGCTTCTATCAGCTATTTCTCAGCTTTCAGGTCCCTGTTCCCTGGGTGTTTTTGTGCCAAGTTGGATTTGGTGGTCATCGAGCTCATTTCTCCCACATTAACTCCACTAATGTCTGCTAAATAGAGAGATCTCTGAGCTGGGATGGACACAATGCAGCAAAGCCGACATGCTGGGGGGACGAGAATGCTGGTGGCGAGGAATTCTTGCATGTTCGCCACCGATGTGCCAGCATGCCTCCTCCTAAATATTGGGCACCTCTGCCAGCTCCTACTAGCACCAATTCCCTGTCATCTATAGCCACACCCCCCTTCCTCCTCATTTTTCATACATCCCTAGTGGGCCTGCACACCTGGGTCTCACTTGCTCTCTCTCTCACCCTTTTTTCAGTATGTCTCTATGTCTCTCTCTCTCTCTCTCTCTCTTACGCTGGCCCCTGCGGGCGCCCCTCACTCAGCACTGCACACTGGAGACACCAGCAGCTCTGGCAAATCCTACACATTCAGACACAGCTACCAGTAAACATTTGATCTTACCACTGAACCACATTGCACTAGTCCACACACACACACACCATACATGCAGCAGAAGCCTGTGTAATATTATATCTTTTAATCTGACTCATTCGTGGCTTTGGCAAGGGGGTCATCTACACCCGGTGTGGTGCCCACAAGAGTCAGAACAAATCACAATTGGTTTTGGTTGTCGTTCCTCTGAATACATGGAAGCATAATTTGATCCAATTAGGTAAATAAATAAACAATATGCCTTCTGTTCCACAGCCTTAATGCACTTATAATGCATCCCCATCCCCCTACCCCTGCGCTGCCTCTGAACCAGAGATGTGGTGGAGGGTAAACCTTGCAACTAAACCCATCATACCCACCTTTCATTTGCCAAAGAGTTAATTGATTAAATTATATAATAGGCTTTAAATAGTATTATTATATTATCCTTTTGAACTGATAACCAGTATATAAGAATAGAGTCTTTGACATAGGATAATTGATTGATTGCTTGTGTAGATATGTTTTTATAGGCTGGAGGTCATAGTTAATCGAGTGTATTGTCACTTAATGCATATAAAACTACAGTATTTTATAGCTTAGACACTTCAAGTGTGACCCTGAGGTGTAACCACTACAACGCTCCTATTGGGAGTCACAATGACTAAGTAATACATCAACCTTATCATTTTTCATTGTATATTTACCTCCTATAGTATCACTATAACCGTCCTCATGGTGAGTGCTGGAATATCTGTGCAGCTCCCCTCTAAATTACATTAAACACTGACTGGTGAGTTTGGCAGGTGAATGAGAAAATTCACAGGTGTGACTAAAAAAAATTGCCTACATCCCTTGAAGCAGCAGCACAGGTCAACAATGATGAGTTTTGTTGTTCCACCATTTTATTTTCTCCCTCTCTTCTGTTTTTCCTCCTTTTTTCTGGCTGTGTGAGCGCTAGCGCGGTGACAGATGGCGGAGCCCTCCTCCTCCTCCTCCTCCTCCTCCACCACCACCACCACCTCCTCCTCTACCTCCTCCTCACCCTCTCTCTCTCTCTCTCTCTCTCTCTCTCTCTCTCTCTCTCTCTCTCTCTCTCTCCCTGTGTCTCTCTTCCCCCGGGAGGGCAAATCTCTCCGAATGCGGGCGCATGTCAATCACCGGGCTCTCATGTGATGGCTCTTGCCGGTGACGTGCCAGCCATATGGGCGCTGGCATCACAGCCTTAGCTGGTATGTAACCCCGTCCCCGGTAGCTCGCGGTCGCCACACGCGCACTCACTCACTCATACACACACATACACACACATATGTACACACATGCATACATGCTCACTTACTCCCTCACACATATACACACAGACACGCCAAGACGTTCACGTTCACTCACAAGCTCCGGTTATTCGAGTGCGCGCGCTGGGAGAGAAGCACCACGAAACAACTCGTCAGTGAGAGAGAAGCATCGCGCGCTGCCCGCACCTGCACACTGATGAGGAGCGTTGCTTCGCTCGTGCGGTCCTTTAAGATGGTCTGAAACTCAAGCGCGTTTTTTTCTTCCTCCAATCCCCTGTGAAGAGCTCGAGCTGAGGTAAGTTGGAACATAAACAACAACACTTGCTGAAAAAAACAACAAAAAAAACAAAATCAGGATGCTGAAGTGCCGGTCCAAAATGGAGGAGAAAATTATCTAATAAAAAGATGAACATGTATGTTAATGAAGGTGTTCATCCGCGTTTTATACAATTCTAATATACTTTAATAGGGTGCCGTGGTGAATTAAAGCACTTTTATCGCTTATCATTTGCAGGGTAAAAGGTTAATTTACTGGCATGAATCCATATGGAATCTATAGTCGCATTATATCAGTGACTTTGCTCTGGTATGTTCGTATCGATCCACGGCACGTAGCCTTTGTACAGTGTCTGTTCTGGTGACGGCACATTTTGAAACCCATTCTACCCAAAATGTCATAAATGCACATACACGGAATTTCCATGTTTGCCAGTTTATTAGATTTCTGTATGGGCTCGCTTGGACAAATAGCTCTTCAGTTCCTCTCCCTCTCTCTCTCTCTCTCTCTCCCTCCCTCACTCTCTCTCTCTTTCTGCGTGCCCTTCAACTTTTGACATCCAAATCTACCTGGATTATAAAAGCTAAGATCAAATACCACGCTCGAGTCAAAAGGCAAGCGTCTCCCGGCCCCGATTTCACTCCTCTACAGGATCACAGGGAGCAAGTCCTGAAGACTGGAGTAGCCCCTTTACAGCAGCAGCGGCGGCGGCAGCAGCGCGCAGGCTGTAAATAGATCATATCGGACACTAATTTGATTTAGAGATTCCTGCGTCTGGACCTTAAACCAGAGAAACAAAAGACTATGAATGTGCAAGATCAGATTTTGTGTGGAAGATTTTGGTCTCAGCTCCGTCGCCTCTCCGAAGGACGTCCTCGGTCTTAATGGGAGATTTATTGATGATTTTGTCGATGATTTGCATGTTCAATCTCGGAGCAAATGAAAGGGTGGGACAACGCCATTGACTGTGACAGGCAGTGTGCAGCAATGATTTATCTCTGTTTGTCCAGTCTCTTCTTCAGCAATCCATCTCCACACAACACTGTTGAAAGCGCAGTGGAGTAGATGCAGTGGATTTGCAAGCTTTGACTATTTGTGCCTCACGAGTTGTGTGTTTTTTATATTTAACGAGGGCTAAAAGGATACAAGCGATTTCCATCTGTAAAGGGTTAACGCTGTCTAAAAAAAAAAAAAAAGGTGCTTTGAAATCATGCACTCGTGCATATTGAATTACGTGTGAAATGTATTTCGTGTAAGCTGCACGCTCTGTTAATTAAACGTTGTTGTGTTTTTTTTCTTCTAATTGAGCAAACCTCCTGAGCCTGAGATTTCAAAACTAGATTTTGCCCCTGGCACACCCCCTGAGATAATTAACCAACCATCACAGCCTTTACCTTAACCGTGGGCTGCGAGTCTATCTGCTGCTGCACTATAACAGGGGAAGGGAAGTGAAAACATGTTAGGGAGGGAGCCAATGGAGGCTTATTGAAGCTGTCAGAGATCACCTCTTCTCTCTGTTGCCTTTTTTTTTTCCTTGGATGAACTGATTTTACTGATCAAGTGGTAGGCTGACCAATTTGGTTCCTTTTTTTTCAAATGCATTCAGCATGTTTGCGTGTTGGTTAACTGTTGATAGTTAATTTGCTAATAATTTTTTAAATTGTGGTTCGTTATAGCTGAGCCAACAGTGATTTTTTAAATATTTTAGTATTATTAATTAAGTATTTTCACCTAAAAACACATTATTATTATTATTATTATTATTATTATTATTATTATTATTATTATTATTATTGCGATAACATAAAAAAGTGACTTTTTTTTGGTATAAATTATAATTCTGCTACTTTTCCTCTTGGCTGTGCTGCTCACAGGCCACGATATTAAATCGCTCTGAAAGTCCTTTTCCAGCTTGAGTTAGGATGTGTCTATAAGCCTTAATTTAATCATCAGCGTGACTTTAAACGGAGCTACAGCCTATCAATTAAATAAAATCCCTTTCGCCTCCTCCGAGGAGAGAGGTGTATGGTGTGGATGAATAGTGCTGGAATGCAGCCAGGAGTGTATATGGGCGTCAGGAGGAGTGAAAGTGGGGGCCCCCATGGGACCTGTAATGTGGCCCCTGCCGCTGGGACCCGCTGCGAGAGGACGCGACAGGGCACACGGATGACAGCAGGGAATTAAATGGGGATCCGTCTGGCTGTAACCCAGCGCAGAGCTTTAGGGGATGATTTCTTTTTCTTTTTTTTTCTCTTTTTTCTTTTCTTTTTTTTCATTTTACACTTGTTGTCCTTTAGGCCAAAATAATGAATCAAATATATTTTTTATGAGAAAAAGGACAAAGCGTCACTGTGTTAATGATGAGATTTATTGACCTTACACATTTTAATTTACTCTTCCTCAGTAGAACTTAATAGCTGGGATGTATGTAGTGACCTGCGCGAGCCAGTTTAACCTCGACCTGTGTTGTGTTTCTGCTGTAGATTCTTATGACACAATTTTGTTGGTTTTCTTGTTATTTTCTTATTATGAAGCCACACAGACTCTGTGTCCATGCCCTGAGCTTGTGAGGCCTCATTTTCGATTTCATTTTCTTTCCCTCCAGAGCCACAATGTTGACGAGGCTTTTCAGTGACCCCTCGCTTCTCCCAGACGTGCAGAAATACTCCGGCTGGGCGGAGGACAGTGACAGCGAGGATGCCAAGATCAAAGATGAGGACCATGACACACAGGACGACATGGACTCCTCTGATCTGAGAGGAGACAGCAGGACGCACTCCGAACACGCTGGGGAAGACGACGAGGACGACGAGGTGGAGGAAGAGGACGACGGAGAGGACACAGAGGGGGAAAGACCCAAGAAAAGGGGCCCCAAGAAGCGCAAGATGACGCAGGCCCGAATCGAGCGCTCCAAAATGCGACGGATAAAGGCCAACGCACGAGAGCGGACCCGCATGCACGACCTAAACTCTGCGCTCGACAATCTGCGTAAAGTGGTGCCCTGCTACTCCAAAACGCAAAAACTGTCCAAAATCGAGACGCTGCGTTTGGCCAAAAACTATATCTGGGCCCTGTCGGAGATATTGCGCAATGGTAAAAGGCCCGACCTTGTGTCCTACGTCCAGACGCTGTGCAAGGGTCTCTCCCAGCCAACGACCAACCTGGTGGCGGGATGCCTGCAGCTGAATTCCCGTAACTTCCTGACTGAGCAGCAGTGTCAGGAGGGAGGCAGGTACGGATCTGGCTCCTTCTCCATGCACTCCTACCCCTACCAGTGCGCACGTCTGTCCAGCCCCCACTGCCAGCCGGGCTCGAACTCGCATCCGCTGAGGACGCACGGCTACTGCTCGGCTTACGACTCTCTGTATGGTGGAAGCGGATCCCCGGAGTACAACAGCCCCGAGTATGAGGGGCCCCTCAGCCCGCCCCTGTGCATCAATGGCAACTTTTCCCTGAAGCACCAAGGCTCCGCGTCCCCCGACAACGAGAAGGGGTACCACTACTCTATGCATTACTCCGGCCTGCCTGGCTCCAGATCCACCGGGGCCCACAACCTGGTGTTTGGCTCCTCAGGGGCCCGGAGCGGCATTCACTCTGAAAACGTCCTGCCTTACCACGACATGCACTTACACCACGAACGGGCCCCCGTGTATGATGAACTGAACGCGTTTTTTCACAATTAAAACGAGAAGCCTGTTGTGCGTCCCCTTGCAATCAACAATCTATCCACGGCACACTTTTTTGACAAGCTTACCCACCAGGATTTAGGCATTCTGGAGAGATGTTTCACTCGTTGTCATTGGTGTTTTTTCCTTTAATTTATTCTGTATTGAACTTGCTATAGTCAGGGATGTAGTGGAGGGAAATCCACCTAACCCACAATCTTATTTATCCAGCTTTTTCAGGCTGATATAAATCTCTAAGAGGAAATTTGATGATAAACAAATCATATCAACACCTGAGGATAAAGGAATTTCAAGTAATATGATGTTTTTAAAATGTGATTTGTGTTTGTATTGGTGGTTGTTTGCATTTTGATGACTGGAAGTCAAAGTTTACCCACTTCTTTATTTACCACTACATCACTGGCTACAGCTACACACCCTGACATTGGCGGTGATTTTCTAATAATATATCATTAGAAATAAATCAGTGAACAAGCTAATGCAAATCACATTTACTCGCCTGTACGTGCCAGATTTGGGGAGGGTTTTTTTTTTTTTTTTGGAAATGGTCAAATTTAAAGAGGAAGTTTAGAGGAGGGGAAATGCTGAATCGAGAGTGATGTGCTTAGTTGGGTAGTTTTAAAGGAATCTGTTCTCCAGCAAATCAATCCAATCGTTTCGCATCTATGCAAAACCCAACGAGACTACAGAGCGAGGCAGCGAGGCCCAGGAAGACACTGTATGTTTCATCAGCACTGTTGTTCCACGCACGGGTGTGTGCGCGCGCGCGCACACACACACACACACACACACATACACACACACACTCACTTGCACACTTGAATTAACACACAACGAATCTGACAATGGCTGGGCTGGCCAAAATGTTTGAACTTCTACTTCTTCAAAAAAAAAATCTAAATATAATGAAATCAAACTTTTTTTTCTCATTTTCGTTTTTTATTCTTATTTATTATGAATCTTTTTTCTTCTTCTTGAGCCATTGCACTGTATTTTCATTTCAAGTAAATTTTTATTCAATATTTTCATTTTAATTTGCAATCTGCTGTTGAATAAGTTATTATTATTATTATTATTATTATTATTATTATTATTGCACGTATTTATTGTGTTGTTTTTTGTAATTAATGTTAATAGTCCATGAAAATGAAGGGATCCCATGTGTTGCTGATCATTTTTTCATAAAATTCAAGTCTTTCAACTTTGTATTCAACCAACTGTGTGGTAAAATAAAATGACAATAAATGAGACTGTGCAACTTGATTTTTTTACACCCATCGAACAACCTTGGCTGTTCTATTAAACCTGCAGCATTATTTAAATAACTTGAGTTTCCCTTCACAATCAGTGGAGTAAATGTGTATTTGTATAAAAAGGTGCAGCTTAAAGCTTTTCTGAGAGCATTAGTCTGCACGAGTCATTGTGTTACTGGATGAGAGGAGGCTGACCAGGCCCGGTGCCACAACCTGCAGGAGTCCCTCACAGAGCCTCGGGGCCTTTATCTCATAAAGTGGGACAGGAGGAAGAGGGCAGTGCTGTCATTCTTCCCGTTGAAGTGAAATGGTGCCAACGCGTCATTTTTGCTTGGCAGACAGTTCAAAGTTACAAAACAAGTCTTTAAAAATGTATGGGAAGATTTTAATTGCAGACCTCGGGACGAAAACAGATTTGGTGTAAATGTCTCTACAGCAGACTGATGAGAGTCTGGACACCCTGCTTCACAAATACAAATAATAGGCTACACATTCAATGATGCCAAGCACTGCACTCAAGGTCATCGGGGTAATAACGAAGGTCTGCTTCATGTTTTCTTCACCATTAAGACTCGATCCGTTTCAGCACCGCGGAGAGCTCCTGCAGCTGCTGCTCCGTCCTGACTTTAAACATTTTTGGTAAAAATACAAATAATCCGAACATACTGTTGACAACGTGACACTACTGCCACACATAATGGACCTGTCACTGTCACCACAATGCTTTAGACGCTGGAAATAACATTTGAGGAGGTATTTACATCCAGAACACACACGCGTCCTGCAGGTCTGTTCACACCAGGTTTCAAAGCATAAGAAAAAGGCAAAACAATATCACGTCAAGACATAGAAATAATAAAAACATACTCCAGTGTTTTATTACATATTTTTTTAGATGCCTAATATATTCCTGAGGTGATTATTAATTTAGGAGCTAGTAGACCTACTTGTTGAAAAGTGAAAAAGAAGTTATTTCTTTGTCTTTTGTAAATAAAATGATGACCTGTGCGGCAGTGACATGACATCAATACAGACAACATGCACATATCTGCTGTTTTAAAATGGTCCTTATCTTTGGTTTCCATGCTTCGATAATGCATTAAACATCAGCTATGAATTATGAAGTCGACCCCCTTAAATGGTTTCACCTCTTTAACTTTAAACACACATCTCATATTTATACATTTTATATGGAATTATAAATATTTATCTGTTTCAATCAATTCGATCTGTGTGTTTATTGGATATAATATAAACATCACACACACATTAAATAACCACATATAGGAAAGGTTAAATAATAATATCTTTTCTTCAATATTGAAATATCAAATCATATTTAAAGAAAACTGGTGAACACACACGCACACGCACACGCTCACACTCTCAACGACACCACACACACACACACACACACACACACACACACACACACACACACACACACACACACACACACACGCACACAGTGCAAGGGGCAGCCGTTGCCACCCCGGCTGGGTTTGGAGCGCTGCCCCGGGACCCATATGTTCCCCAAAATGTCCTGGGTGCTCTCTGCTGCTGTACGGACACACACGCGCTTTGGGTGGCGAGTGATGGTGACCAACAGTTTATTACTAATATCAATATCAATACCTGAAATAGCTCAACTCAGATTATTATTCCGTCTCATTTAAAACAAAACTGCGTGGATCACAGCTGAAGCTTTCGGCCCTGGAAGGTTTAATATTGATCTTGAAAGATTATTAATTAAATTAAATTAAAAAAATACAAGAATGCAATTGAAAACCCACAAGATGGATATTCATTTTTTCTGGAGCAACTGACCATACATATTTGCCAATAATTTCCTGTCAGTCATCAATAATTCCTTTGTCCCCAAGAAGTGAATCTCTGAATGTGAAAGTTTGGGCGATAAAGAAAGAACTTGTGCTATTAAAGAACATACAAGAAGCCACTTCCTGTGTGTAAGACATACAGTATAATATAGAATAGTTATTTTGAAACTAGTTTTAATAAAAAAGAGCAACAATATTTCAACACAGTTCGACTTAAAGTTAAAGTAAATAACAGGCTAATTTTACCCAACAGATCAATACCGTTTTCAGTGTTGGTTTTTCTTTGAAATAATACTGAATTACAAAATAAATCCAGTCTGTAACTGAGTTTTTGTAACGAAAAAAAAAGGTTCTTAAAATAAACGTATCTCAAAATGATACAAAATAGAAAACGATAAATGAATTGAATGAAAAGAAAACATCTTCATTTTTTATGAAATAAAAATATGCATTGAAAAGTCTCACACTTGTGGCTGCATCAGCTTTTCGTTATAGTTATAGTTATACATTTAACCAATGCAAAAAAATATTTTGTAGATGATTTGTAAAATATTGTTAATAATTCTTAGTCAGGTTTATTAGTGTTTTCGTTCTTTTGCTGCTTGTTCTAGTTTATAACACATTTCACGGTCCAGTCCTTCAGGTTCAACATAAAAGCACGACTTTATACAACATGTTCCGTTTGGCAGGTGCTTCTACCTGTGAGTGCATTCATTTAGTCTGAGCTCCTGGTGGGAATCCAACCTGCAGGCCCGCAGTGTTGGCTCAGGTTGTGGGTTTTAAACCACTGAAGAAACCCCGAGGCCCACTCTGCTGTTGTGTTGTGTTTCACTCTTGTGCTCGTTTTTTAGGCCTCTATATTCTTTCTGGCCGCATCAGCAAAGAGTAAAAAAAGTTGCATGCATTTCTGGAGGAGCCAACCCAAAAGTGAAGGCAGCCAGCAGTGGGAGAGGGCATCTATCAAAATACTCCCCGAACCCCCCACCCCACCCCTTCCACACACACACACACACACACCACCACCACCACCACCATCACTACCACCTCCTCTTCCTCCACAGTCCGGAGAGAGCGAGAGAGAGGGAGGCTGGCAGGCTGGCGGAGGAGAGCCGTGCCAAGTCCCTTAATGTTCCCCAGCAGCAGCACCAGGAGCTCCGGAGAGGACAACCCAGTGTGTGCGCCAGTGTGCCAGTTCACCGGGCCAAAGTGGCACTGCTGGGAGGAGTCGATGTTTCTTTCCTAATTTTTGCAGCATCTGTTCATTATCCAGGACGTTTAAAAACGAGAGCGCTCATCCTGAGTAACCCTTCGCCACACACACACACACACACACACACACACACACACACACAGAGACACAGAGAGACACACACACACAGATACACAGCAGTAAGGCGGTTTTGTGAAGAGTTGGCCTATGAATATGCATATTTCCCCCTGATGTTATGTTGTACATGAGCTCATGCATTGAAAGAAGGCTGTGCTGCAGCCTCAGAATTAAACTTGTGGTTGTTAACAGTCCTTAGATGTGGTAACCTTGTAACATAACAGATTAATGACACACACACACTTTCTTTCTCTCTCTCTCTCTCACACACAAACACACAAATACAGACACACACAGGCAAACACACACACAAACACACACACAAACACACAAACCCAGAAGCCAAATTTTAAAGAAAAAATGACAGATTTTTAAATAATTTTGATTAAAATCCAGTTTTTTGCAGTTTGTTTTTTTAGTGTTGAAGAAAATAAACTTTTAATTCAGTAAATAAAAATGTGTTAATTGGACAAACTCACACTGTGCGTGTGTGTTTGTGTGTGTGTGTGTCATGCCCTTAAAATTAACTAATAATTACATTTGAAAGCAGTGCCACACCTCTGTTTATTAAAACACAAACACGCAACAATAACTGAAGTAACACAAAACGACTTAATAATCACTCCTGATGTGCCAGAACATGAAGGAATTCACAGGTGTTCTTATTAAATCGCATGATTTTACACATTTCAGCAAAACCTTTCCCTTTATTTTATTTTTCTTTTGAATTAATCCTTTAATACTTTGCTATCTAGCATTATGCGAATTAAAGTCTTAACTTGCACTGCAGACAAAAAAAAAAAACTTCCAGTGGCACTCTGTGCTCCACTCAGGATGAAAAGTGAGTGAATGAATCTCGCTGTTTAAATTATCATGTTCATGCCCACTCTTTTTCTCACTCAACTTGGTAGGAAAAAAAATCAAGAGTGTTTGTCCGACATAACAGTCAATAGTGCGATTATCAAAATGTCACAAGTACTATGGTGTGAACTCCAATTAACGTCTAGCTAAAATAATAACCGAGTGTTTTTTTTTTTTTTTTTTTTTACAAAATGCAGATATCAGCTGATAATATGGATATAAAATATGTGAGAATTAAAAGCATTTAGGATTCAATGAAAAGGAAAGTAATGTGAATATTTTCAACTATCTGTCAGTGATTAAAAACAAAAGGCAGTGCAGTTGAAATGGGCAGAAAAAATACAACACACACTCACACTGATCGCCCATGCATCTGAATAATTTATGTCTATTAAAAATGGCAAGAATAAAAGGACATAAACACAACACTTGGTGCATTGTGAACTTATCTGGCTCGTGCGCTCAAATGTTCCACATGTGCGCAGAGGAAACAATCG